TTAGACTTAGACTTAGACTTAGACTTAGACTTAGACTTAGACTTAGACTTAGACTTAGACTTAGACTTAGACTTAGACTTAGACTTAGACTTAGACATAGACTTAGACTTAGACTTAGACTTAGACTTAGACTAAGACTAAGACGTAGACTTAGACTTAGACATAGACTAAGACTTAGACTTAGACTTAGACTAAGACTAAGACTTAGACTTAGACTTAGACTTAGACGTAGACTTAGACTTAGACATAGACTAAGACTTAGACTTAGACTTAGACTAAGACTAAGACTTAGACTTAGACTTAGTCTTAGACTTAGACTTAGATTCAGTGCAATGGTCCATAAACTGTTTTAGCTCTGCGAAGTCCTAGTCGAGATAAACTTCGTTATATTTTTTGAAATGGTTGCACATTTGGGAGAGTTAAATTGCACCACAACACAACTAAATACTTGTATGCATAAGACACGTTTTTTAGACTAAGTTTTAAGTGTACGAGTCGATCATTAGGCCAAAAACTAATAACCTTCGTGGAGTGATTTAAACGTTAAGCCTCATCCGCATTCCTTGCTTAAAACTCATCATTTCAGCCCACTAATCTTAATGTCAACACACTCGACATGTTCAGATCATTCGCAACTTTGGTACAAGATAAAGTGGCCAATCGACGCCAAGTCTTTCGGTGCGTTGCCCCCGGTGTTGAATCAAGTCTGCGGTCCTCCAGTTATAGTGTTCAATTGGTCTTCAATTAAGCTTGTTGTTGTTGTCTTTTCCTATTCTAAGTGTTATAAAATCGTGTTTGACTGTCCATGATGTATTTTACTGATTGAGATGATGTCTGGCGGAACTTAACTTCGTTCGACTCCGTTCCCAACAAATAGACCGACAAGATGTCCTCTACGAGGAGACTAGCTGTATCCATTATCTATATTGCTATTGCATTCATACCTGCGACAGGTAAGCATTTTAAAAAATACAGGTAGAAGTAGAAGCCGTTATGGAGCACATTGATAAACTGTAGACACCTTTATTTCATACATTTTTTTTGGCATTTCTCTTGATCTAATCCAACACAGAGCTCTTTCATAAATATTTAAATGTTCTTATTGTAATCATGAAGGTACATTTATGACAATCGTCATTGTTTATTTTTATCTTTATAATTATTTTTTTGGTTTTGTTGCTCTGTTGTTTATTTTTCTTATTTCCAATTGACATTTTTTTTCCGGATCCGCCCATGAACATGCATTTTGGCTCGTACTTGAATGTGTTGTTTCTTTCAGACAATTTTGAGATTGCATTTCAAACTTTAGGATGGGAAGTGCCCAAAATAGCAAAGACATCTTAAATTCCGCACCATTCTAGTTGTGTCACCCTTGAGGGTTCGCTTTTATGTATTTTTATTAATCGCTAGATCATTCTCACCCCTTAAATCTTTATAGTCCCAGAATTTTTTTGTTAAATTAAAAAATACAAGAATGCATGTTATCACTTATCTGAATTTAGTTTTGCAACATTCTACTCTTATTTGGAGAGCAACGGAAGAGATCTTAGTTGTTTTTTTTTTTGTTTTTTTTTTAAATGTAGGTCTCACTTAACGTTAGAACCTGTTTTTTTTTCGCCCCGCAACTCCTACGATGCAGGATGCCTCGGATACTTTAAGGGTTCAAAGATGTGATGAGGATATTTCTTTCAATGCAGGTTGGAAAAAAATGGGGAGGGGGGGAGCCAAACGGAAAAGTGCTTGACCTGCTTGTGTTGTGCAAAAGAAAATGTTTATATTACTAGAAATAGTAACAAGGCTTTTATTTTTCATTGACATTATTTTGGGGGATAGTTACTTAATTAATAAATGAATTTTCAACACACACACATACAAAATAATAATAATAAAAAGGTTTCCATCACTAAAAAGCATTCCAAAAATTATTTTATATGCTGAACTTAAATGGAAATTTTTTTTTATTATAATTAGACTACCTTTTCAAAATATTTACAAATTTTACCAGAGTCAAAGAGAAAAAAGAAAACTGTTTATTAGAAAGGCCTATACATTTTGATCGGTTTTGAAAGCTGGTCGTTTTTTTATCAATCGTATATGAACGGCATAACTCTTATAAGAGGATGTGAGTTGTTTACAAAAGACATCATATATTTATTAATCTGTAATTTTATCTAAGGGAAATCGTATTCAAATAAAGTATATATTTCCCATTATTCAGCTGATTGAAATTTTTATTTGTAATTTTAAAATATTCTAACTTCTTTCAGATCAATTATAAAGTGCTGCTTAGATATACATTAAAACACGTATTTTTACACCAGATCCAAAGAATTTATTTTAAATTGAACAAATTAGGAGTAAGAATTTTTTTCTAAAACTAGTACCAACAAAATTTCTTTTCATAGAATTGACATGATCATTGAAATGCTAGTTCACACAAATCACTCTTTAAAAAAAAATAAAAAAAATTCAGATCAAGAAAAAATATTATTTTTTTTTAATCAGTACATATATAGGTGGGGCATACAAAATATAGACAACGTATTTTTTTAGCCTCTGTCATTCAGCAAACAATGTTATAAAAGAAGCACATGAAAAGAAAACCCAAAACGCCTTCGATGCAATAGTTGATGAAATGAGCACTTCTTGTCTGCGCCCGTTAAATTCTTAATTTAAAAAAAAAAAAAAAAAAAAAAAAAACTTTTTTTTTTTTTTTTTAGTTTCCATTTTGTATAACACAACACACATGGCGTCGACTAAATTCATATGTATGCAAATAAACTATTTTTTAAAGAATTACGCCATCATACAAATTATAATTAAGACCTATCCCTACATTAAAAGTCATGATTTTATGATGAAATATAATTTGAAAATAGATTGCGCATGTTTGAGACTTAGCAAAAACTATTCTTAAAATTGTACACCCTTATATTGATGTAAAGGTAATTGAATACGGTTTAATTTAAGTTTTAAAACGTGTGCCGTTGTAAAAAAAGTAAATGAATAAAAATACCGATATATGCGAACAGGAAGTAAGTCATGGGTCTATAATCTGCAGCGATCAGTGCGATATTTATAATCGAATACTATACGCCTTTAACAAGATTAGACTTAAATATACTGATCATCAAATATATCGAGCATGGCGATATTTCATGCATTCCAATATTTTTAATCGGTTAGAGGCACCAAATATTAATATTTTTAAAACTGTTTTAAAACGAAAATTTAGTCGTTTTTAATTTTTAAAAAATATATTATCTTTATAATGATGCACACATTTTGCTCTGGGGGCACTTGACTTTCCCCAGGTGCAGTACCATTCCCCCCCCCCCCGGAGACATACCTGAAAGAAACCCTGCATGTACGTTTACAGGCAAAATGCAATGTAAAGCCAAGTTCATAATTAAGATTATTTTTTGTAAAGCAATTTTGAAAGTAGTGCCACTAAATTATTTCCCCTTTTTAAAACACGTTGACTGTCCCTGACTTCCCGGATTTTTTGCACTCCTCCAAGTCCCAAAACTGCAGTCATCTCAAGCCAATGGGGGCTTTCAACCCCTCGCAATCACAATGCTTCCTATCATTTTCCAGTTGCCCTGAAGTGTTACCAGTGTGGGGACACCATTGACAATGGCTCCTGCAACACCGATGTAAAAGGACTGCTCGACACCGCCATGGGAAAGACGGATCTCTACAAGCAAGACTGCACAGAATCTAGGTCTGAATGGAAGTACTGCATGATTGAAACAGCTAAGGAAAGAGGACGTGAGCTGTTTCTCAACATAACCGTAGACAGTTAGACCCAGCCGCGTTGGGCGGGTAACAAAATAATTTATTGGACGTACTAAGAGTTTGTTATTTTTTTGGAACCGTTACCAAAAGTGTGTGTGCCAGCCCAAGATTTAAAAAAAAAATAAAAAAAATAACAGTAAATAAAAACAGAGCAATGAATTCCTATAAGTTACAGATATTTATGGGGGTTATTTATACCTTCTGCCGCTCTATATCGGTACGTAAGCCGTGCGTTAATTCCTCTCCTGTAAAAGGGGCCGTGTTAACGATTTGTTCAATGTGTACGTGCTTTCGTTTGTGTTTTTGTAGACTTGATTTGTTAGTGAGCGTATTTGGTCTGGAGGTTAACTGTCTAGATCTCTGTGTAGTTTGTATTGGGGACGTTCTTGGGGTATGAGAGATGATTAAACTTGATATCAGATCAAAGCATCAAACAGATCCACTCATAAAACTTGCTAGTGAGCAAACCCAACATAGGTCTATGAGTTCTGTCGGTTACTTATTCCAAAAATTGCGGGGACATCGTTGCCGCAGGATCCATAGTGGCACACTCTCGATACCACGTGTTCGTCTTGAGACTTACGGAAGGCGCCCTTTCGCATTTGCTGGCCCAACAATTTGGAACACACTTCCTAACGCTCTCAGAAACAGCCAGACACTGGAGTCTTTCAAAACCGAATTGAAAACACATCTATTTCGCAAACCCCTGCTTGGGTGATGTTGTCTGCCATCTTTTCCAGCTGGCTATTATCTCCTAGATGTATATTGACCTTTGTTGTTTATGTTTGTAAGGGATCAAATAATTAGAATTAATATTCTCAAATGTAGTCTTTGTAATGTTGCGTTTTGTATTTCAATGTGGTATAATATAGATTTTTTTCATTTCTCTTTTAATATGGTTGACTTTGTACCGCGCTTCGAGACTTTGGGGATGAAGAGTGATTTTCAAATAAACTTTATTTTATTATTATTATTAATATTATTATTAATTTCACTCTTTTTCATAACACTACACATAATCTGTTCGCATTGTTATTAGTCTTGCATCAGCACATCGAATATTTGCCAGGAATTTCCCGGCACTTCGGGAAGTGGCCGGCCAAAGTAGCATATACACTGGCAATTTCCAGTACATCGGACATTGGCTACACGCCTAGGCCAAATTGAGAAATGGCCGGCCCATTCGGAAACTGGCCGAACTTCGGGCTTTGGCCGAAACATATACATAAAAAAAATTACGTTTTATTTTGTTATTTTTATTAAGTTCCATGTAACATACTTTTGTGGATAATGTTTATAACGGATTCAGTCCTGGGGGAGTGGGGACTGGGGAGGGGGCGCGAGGTATGAGTTTATGTCACAAAGGGGGCGACGGCCAAGAAAAAAAATTGAGACCCACTTGCTTATTAACAATGCTATCTCTGTTCGCCACTCGATAGCATCCCTCCATTTCTATCCACAGATTACACGCTCTACCACCGAGGTTGCCACGACGGGTCTAATTTCACCTTCAAAGGCGACAGATTTCAAGGTATCGCCCCGAACAACGAGACGACGTGTGAACAGGTGGAAGCTAGGTTCGTATGCTACAGTCTCTGTGAAACGGACTACTGCAACGGACCACAGTTGCCAGATTGCAACGACACGCTTCTAAGAGAACAATTCTATGGCGAAGAGTGTGGTAGCAGAGCGATCTTCTCCATGCCCCTAGCGGTCATTTTTAATATGTTCTGCCTCATTTTGACATTGGTTTACTTTGGTGCGTTGTGATTGCTGCAATGTAAACATCTGGGTTTTGGGGTGAGGGGGGGGGTCTTCAACAAATGCTAACATCTTTTAATGGTTGATACATCACACCACTCAAGTCCGTCTGACAAAGAGAGACGAAACTAATGCAAAGGTTATTCTAACGCCCTGAGGTTTGATGAGTATATACGTTATATTTTCTATGTACATGTCATTGTAAATACCCACTAAATTTATTTTTGTATCTGTTCGGTTAGCTTCAATTGATTTCAATATTACTTTATTTAGTCTTTTACTTGAAGCTATGAATGACACCTGCATTATATATATAGTCTAAATATAGCGGTTACAGGGGAACCACAGCGATAAGAGTCGGAAAGAACAAGATATACTCCATTAGATAAGAGAGAAAAAAAAATCTAGGGTGCGGTTGTTGTGTGCTGGTTGGTCGGTGTTATGATAAGACTCAATGCAAAGTCAGAAATACAAACTATGGGTTTTTGGTTAGGGCCCAGACGACCGAAATAAGGATGCCATGGTCGGGTAAGAGCTGAGAAAGGGGGGCTGGGCTGCTGGCAGGACAGCTAGACGTGACTATGCACCGATGAACAGAACAGTCCACATGCTCCCAGGTGGCGGTGACTAAGGGGAAAGAAGAGGGAAAAATGTAGTCTAACAGGAGAGAATAACTCCATTCTTAAACCTTAACCTGGGTTAGAACGTGCAGGGCTCATTGTTAATAATTTGTTACAGGGATGGGTGTGTTTTCGGTTTGTGATTTGTAATGTTTTTACAAGTGAGCGTATTTGGGTGCAGACACTTATTGTGTCTCCCAGGCCTGCACAACATACTGCCCGCCAGGACACACTTAGCGGCCCGCGAAAAAAAAACGAAATATTTTTTATTATTATTATTATAGCTTTCTCCCCTATCCAATTTTCTTTCGGCCCGCACAAGTTTTTTCATAAAGTATTACGGCCCGCCTTACATATTGAGTTGTGCAGGCCTAGTGTAGCTTTTTTCTATGTGTTTTGCATCGGCGACGTTTTGTGGTACGAAGTGGCTGTTCGGACCCGGGTCCGAGAAGTTAGAGGTCGGGATTAATTTTTTTTTTTTAAATATATTGTTGTTAGGTTGTGAGACAAAATTTGATATAACAGGAAAGATAATTGATCGGACTATATGTTTGTAAACGTAATTCTTCAGTTTAACTAAAATAAGCTACCCCAAATGACATCTAAGTGAGACAAGATTCACAAAACATGCTATTCGAACGATTCTCCCTCCCCCTCCCTACCCATCCCCTCCCCCCTCCCTCCCCTCCCCTCCCTATCCCTCTCCTCCCTATCCCTATCCCTCCCCTCCCCCTCCCTCTCCCTCTCTACCCCTCCCCTCCCTCCCCCTCTCCCTCCCCACCCCTCCCCCACCCACATACATTTTAGGTCATTCGCGGCCCCATTAACCGTGTTGTTAGCCTTCAGACGCCTTCTCGTTTTAAAGCAAACGACTAGCAACTGAATCAAAGTGCTCTAGTGGGAGCCATGATCCCCTCTAATCTATCTCTATAGATGCATTGTCATGGGAATCCATTAGCTTTAACTCGACACAAAGATACTAAGCTAGGTTATCATTTGAATTGTTTTGTTGTTTTTTTTAGATTGGACTTATTTCTAGAACAAAACGATGCAAGGAAATTCCTGACTTTAGCGGGGTTCTCAGTTGTTGATATAAGAACCCCTACGTGACACATTTGACGCCTATGGATCTGAAGAGACAAATGTTATAGATCTGAACTCAGCACAGAGGGATACAATGTCTGATTTATTTCTCAGAATTATAGATCATTTGTGTATGAGTGGGGTCCGGTTTCAGCTGAGTTTATTATGTGTACAGAATTATGTCATTTCATGGTGTCATGTGCTTAATAAGGGTTGAAAGAAAGAGCGAGAGAGAGGGGGGAGAGACAGACGGAGAGCGATGGGAGAGTTAAATTTAAACACACACATCTTGAGTGAGAGAGAGGGAGATAGAAAGTATGAGTTTAATTAATGATTCAAAACGATATAGCCTTTAATTTAGGCCAATGGTTCCCAACCTATGCTTCTAGTGCACTTCTTGGGGCTCCCGACAACTTCTGAACACTATTAAATTGTAAGGCATAGGGCAGGCATAAGGAGCCCCAAAACTCTTCATAAATTAATTCTAAACAGGTGCTCCACGAGTCGAAACGTTTGGGAACCACTGATTTAGGCTCTTGGTGTATATGGTTAAATCATACTTACGACACTTGTGATATCCTTATATTAATGCCATCTCATATTGTCTGATTACAAGAAACCTTAAGATGTCTATATTTAGATCTATTTATTGATCGTGAGATTAGCATTATCAATGAAGTGACACATCCGGGTGCATAGCCTCAGATAATGTTTTGAATATAAGTATGGCAACAAATGTAATCGTTGCTGTTTTTTTTTCCATTTTCTTTTAGGCAGTCTCAGCCCTTGAGAATGTAACACCCTTGGGAATGTAACACCCTTGTAAATGTAACACCCATGTAATTCTAACACCCTTTTGAATGTAACACCCTTGGCAATGTAGCACCCTTGGGAATGTAACACCCTTGTAAATGTAAAACCCATGTAAATCTAACACCCTTTTGAATGTAACACCCTTGGCAATGTAACAACCTTGTGAATGTAACACACTTGTGAATTACCACTCTTTTGATAGAAACACCCTTTTGATTATAACACCCTTGTGATTGAACCACCCGTGTGATTGTACCACCTTTGTGATTGCACCACCTGAGCGATTGCACAACCCTTCTGATTGTAACAACCTTCTGATTGTACCACCCTTGTGAATGTAAAGACCTTTATGATTGTTTGTAACACCCTTCTGATTGTACCACCCTTGTGAACATAACACCCTTGTGATTGTACCACCAGATTGATTGTACCGTCCTTGTGATTGTACCGCCTGAGTGATTGTACTACTTGAGTGATTGTACCATCCTTGTGATTGTACCACCTGGTTGAGTATACCACCCTTGCGTCTGTACATCCCCTGTAACTGTAAAACAAGTGCTAATCCACCATTGTTATTGTTATTTCTGTAGTCATACACCAACTGTTCAAACTGTCTCATTTTTTTTTACAAATAAAAATCTATTTGCAGTAGCCATTTCTGTTGTTTCGTTGGTTTCCCTGTGGGCAGAGCCTCCGGGACTTTGGGATGCGCCCTGCCCAATGGCGAAGATGAGGCTAATGCCACCAGCGGCGGGTCGACATTTTTGCCACCCATACCTCGAAAAATGCTCTGCAGTCGGCGCCGAAGGGGCCATCCCTCCAAATAAAAGTCAAAAGCACAGCCTGGGACAGACCATCTCCTCGACATCATCACGGTTTTTTTTTTCAACGCCCCTGCCCGGTTTCGGTTTAGTGCCTCCTAAATACAAAGTTAATCATTTACATTTTTTTTCCCACATCACAGTTTTGGATCCCCTTAAAATATCCTAGGGCCCCCTTGAAGCCGCAGGGATTGCAGCACCCACTCGACGGCTCCGCCTGTGAAACGAGGACCTGCTGTAACAACATCCAATTTATCAAATGACAGTCGGAACAGAGTTGATTCTCACTGCACTGAAATCAACAACACACTGCAGAGACGGCCATATAACCACTAGTGGCATAACTAGGTTTAGGGTTAGGTGCCATTCAGGGCGGGGGGTGGGGGAGAGAATTTCGACACCCCCTTTCTACGAAAAAAAAAAACAGCTCTGCAGTTGGGTTGAAAATTGTCGCCTCTCCATATAATCGAAAAAATAAGTTCCGTCCGTTGCAAACCACCCCCCTCAGAGAGAATTTCGACACCCCCTTTCTACGAAAAAAAAAAACAGCTCTGCAGTTGGGTTGAAAATTGTCGCCTCTCCATATAATAGAAAAAATAAGTTCCGTCCGTTGCAAACCACCCCCCTCCCCCTCCGCACCTTACCTTCCTGAGCCACTGCGTACCACCATGACTTGTACCGTCGTAAAACAATTCACAGCCAACACAAATCTAACAGGCGATCTTATAACGTGGAGGTAGGCGTACTGACGACATGCACCAACCCGGAATACTTGGACTAGTCGCTTATTGATTCCATTTGGGATTCATTCTTTTTTCTCTGAGAATTTTGAAATTATTTCTCATCTTCATTGGAGGAAAGGTATGATAACGATGGTATTTTTTTTTTATTTATTGTTGCTTCAAAATTAAAATAATAAGTACATGTTGTTGTTTTTTCTCTTTATCTTTTTTCGGACAATTTTTGTCGTTGAAATCGTTGGATGTTCCCCTGGACGACGGTGAAGAAGTTTCCTCGGAAGTGAATAATTTCGAGTGAAATCCTTCATTATAGATGTCCTTCATAATAGCTGTCCTTCATTAATAGCTATCCTTCATAATAGATGTCCTTCATAACAGATGTCCTTCTTAATAGATGTCCTTCTTAATGGATGTCCTTCGTAATAGATGTCCTTCATAATAGCTGTCCTTCATAATAGATGTCCTTCATTATAGCTGTCCATAGTAACAGATGTCCTTCATAATAGCTGTACTTCGCAATAGATGTCCTTCATAATAGCTGTCCTTCGCAATAGATGTTTTCCATAATAGATGTCCTTCAGACGTAGTTGTCCAGATTGGACCAAAAAAAACTTTGCAAATTAAATAGTAAAGTGACAACCAAATTGTCATTACTACTTGATCTGATTTTTTTTATAATGTAAATTTTAAAAACTTTCCTTTTTTTTTTTAAATTCTTTCTTTTGAAGACGAGTTTAAGTTTAAGCGCCCTTATTGTTGTTGTTTTGTTGTTTTCTTTTTCTAGTTTTTCAAACATATTTTCAGCACAGACTTTCTTTGCGCATTGAACCTTATGAAAATTTTTTTTTAAATTATTTTATTTAAATTTTTTTTAGTGTGCTTAAACTTAAACTCTCCCTTGCAAGAAAGTCTTCTTTTTTTTTTTTTGGTCCCTACTTTTTAGTACGAAAATTACAATGACAATCTATCAATCATTCACAAGAGAAGTTGTTATTTTTGTTTTGTTGTTGTTTGTTTTGTTTTTTTATAACAACGAACGCTTATAAAATCCAGAGTATCGTGATTTAGCGCTTTGCCCAGGCAAAAAAATACAAAATAAACTACTAAAAAACAGAATTGCCGACCTTTGATTAATTAAAGAGTCCAGTTGCCCGAAATGCCCTGCCCCAAACACATTTTCCCATCTCAAAAATCCTAACGTTAGGACCGATGGTTATTGTAAGCGAGGTGTTGAGTTTTGTTTTTTTTTTTTTTTGTTTTTTTTTTTTTTTTAAACACTTTTTTTTTTTTTCCCAAAAAAACCAGTGGTTTAATTAGGC